ATGCGTTAGTTTTTTGTATTTTAATGTAGTGGTATGTATATCCATTAACATGACTATATGCAAGTATGTAGTAGTAGTGGTATTACTATACGTTTTAGGTGAGACCACGTTTTAGTATCAGTATGAATATGAGTATGTAGGAGTATTCATGTCAGTACTAGTATTCGTATTGTCATATTCGTATCAGCCTTAGTGTAGGTACTTATTAGCATTGGTACTACTATACGTTGTAGTACCTATGAATATGACTATTTGTAATCGTAGGAGTACTAATGCTGGTAGAAGTATTCCCAGAGGGTCCATGTCGCTGAGTGTAAGGACATTGGGGGGTATGTTCGTGCATGGAAGATGTCGCCCCTATGTCTCTGGATGCAAAGACATTCCCTGATCGGCCTCTGGATGGACACATGCCCCCCGCCCCCGACACCAACAAAACCAAACGACAGCCGATCTTAAGATTGACCAGAGCCCTCTGAAATCTTTCTTTTCACTCTTGCTGCAACAAGGTCCTGGTGACATTAAATTAATTGGGACCCGCTTCGCACGAAACTATTGCTTGCTGCTGCACTGCTCCGTCTGTTCACGCATCTGCATCTGGAAGTGCTCATACGAGTTTACCACACGACGGAGTCGCTGGGCCAATTTCCAAGCTGACGGCCATGCCTTAGTTTAAGAGATAAAATGTAGGCTGTCTAGCACTTGATACTGGGCACCTTTAGATGCCACCCAAGCACAGAAGCCTCCAAGGCTTTGATGGCTCGAATGATTTGGCTCATCTTGTAACGACGCTGGAGGATCATCTGAACAGCATCTTTGCTTCTGAAATGACGTGGCCGGCCATTGCCAGATTCGGCTCTAGAGTCCTTTTTGCCCATAGCATACTAAGCCCCTTAGGGTTTGATCTGGTAGCAGCAGCTGCCCACCGCCACATTCAGGAACACCGGTTATAAAGTAAGTACTGCAAACATAGAAAATTATAAAATAAATCGGCATAATAATATTAAGGGGCAGCGGGCAAGAGCAGTAGTTCTTGAACTAGATCTCAGTCAAAGAGCATCATTGCCATGATATGGTAAAGCATCGATACACCCAGTAAGCACGAACGAAGCAACCCAATTTGGCACTTACAACCTGAACCCTAGACCGAAATCCCTAAACCCTGAGGCCGCAGACCCTTATAATAACGGCCCTAAACCTTAACTTTAAAATCACCTAGGCCTGCACTCCCTAAACCCAAGACCTTAAAACCAGAACCTATTCATCCCTTATTATAGGACTTAGGGGCCCTTCAGCTCCATGCCGTTTTGGTGTTTCGGCTTTCGGGTTTAGGGCTTCGGGTTTTTAATAGGGAGAACTAGGCACACCGTTACTCCCAAAGGCACGAAGTAAAAGGAAGATGATCAGTGACTGGACCCGGCTATGCTCTACAGTGATCTAAGGTTGCGATGTAGATAGTCTTGGAACGGCCCTGGAAAGCAAGCTTTTTTTTTTGGGGGGGGGGGTATGTTTCAGAAGGTCTTGTCACCGACCGACGACTATTCAGGTAAAGCCCTAATTCCTAAACCCTTAAGTCAACCACTTCGCACACGAGGCTGAATCAGCATCGAACCTGAAGCCTGCACCCTAAGCCCTAGCTGCCCTTGAGTCGCTTACACACTATTCGAACTCGGCGCTCTCAAAGCTCAGCATGTGGAAACCATATTGTTCGAGCAAACATCCACATAGGAATTATGGTAACATCCACATAGGAATTATGGTACAATCGAGATTAGGGTCGCCTTCGGTTTAGGGTTCAGAGGGTCACTGTTAAACTCCATGTTTCAGGGGTCCACTCCAATGCTCAGGGAATCTATGCTAGGGTTCAGGGGCTTAGGGGCTTCAGGGCTTTGAGCAGGAAGTATTCGGACGTGTAGTTGCTCGGCCGCTATGTGTGGGCAGTACAGTACCCCTTCTGGAAGTGATTGAAATCCTGCTTCGAAATGCACATATCCCCACAATATATTGTAGCCAAGGGATTAGTGAATTTAGGGTTCAGGGGCATACTGTCGGCTTCAGAGAACTTAACAGGAGGCATCCGGGCTTTAGTTGGGGATGGTTAGGGTGGCAAGTCTGGGTACCGACAAATAACAGATGGGCTAGGGCAAGCCTCTGGGGATTGGGAATTTGCACTTAAACTTAGTGGCCCACTGGATCCATGGCACTATTGCGGGCGCAGACATCGAGTGCTTTCTGGAGGCACACATGCTAATTTCGTGAGGGAATACCCTCACTTGGCATACATAGAATTAAAGGCATCGAGCTTACAGCAGCCTTGTGAGAGCACTGTGATTCACTTAATCAGCTTTTAAATTATTAGGAGTCCCTCAACCTTAGCTCCCTGTAGGCTACAGCTTGCAAGCACGACACACTCAGTAGCTACCGGTACCCTTCGAGTAGCAGAGCTGAAGATACACACGGGACAATGTAATCTCCTCAACAGATCTCTTGTGGCAAGCTTCTGCGATTCCTTGGCCCACTATCCCATCATATATCACTGCAAGTAGGAAACACATGTACAGTTGGACAAGTCTGCAACTAAGATCGGTACTCACCATGCATCCTACCATGTCCTCCTGCCTGAAGCAGTGATAGGTTCGTGGATTGATGCCTTGCAATGCGAAAACAAATTAAACATAAATACCCGGGCCCTTGCTCAGCATGCAATCCAGCATTCAAGATCCTCTTGTAGACAAGCTACGGTGTTTGACAGCCCAGTATGCCATCTCCTGCCATCCCTCGGTGCAGGTTTTGAATAAGTTAGCCTAGGACTCATCGGAAAATGTATGCAATGACTAAGGCCAACATTATAGTTGATGAATCTGAGAGCATGACATGGAACTTGGGTTTCAATGGGAAGAGGCAAAGTTTGTCGTTCACAGATCGCTGTGCCAGCTGTAGGTAGGCATCCAAACAGCAATCCTCAATTGCAGACGTATTCCAGTCAGTCTTTCAAACTGTAAACACACCAGAAGCCACTCCGAAAGCCAAGAAACACATGCCCGCTGAAGCCTGAGTGCTTCCTCGACCGTCAGGTAGCGGGAGCAGTTCTCGCTGACATTGTACCAGCTTGCAAGGTGCCACCTGGGATTCTGGAGTGGGTAGATGAGCTTAGTGGGTCTATGAGTTCCTTGGAGATGTTCAGGGTTGTTTGGGGCTACAAATATTTGTTCAAGCATACCGTAGTGTCTTGAGGTGTCGGCGTTTTTTTTTATTTTGGGTCGGGGTTGAGTGCTTTCCCTTGTGAGAAGGCTGGGGTTTACATCGCTCGAGAACTGGTGGCTTGGGCTTTGGGGGGGGTGTTTAGAAGTGACAGGAGTACTTTGTAGAATTGTAGTAATATTCGAGGTGGTCTAGGCCTAAAGGTTCATTAGGACTCGAACAGTAAGGTCTTGGGTTCAACCAATAGACGACACGGCTTGTACCTGCCCTGGGCCACACCAATGGCATATTGTGAACACTGATAGTGCAGTCGATGCACAAGGATGTGGCCAAGAGCTGCTGACCTTCCGTTTCCACGTGCTGCACAGTCTTGTTGGCCAGCCATGCAACCACAACTCGTCCCTGCATCAGGGTCACTATGATAATCGGGCATAGGATATATCTTGTTTCGTTCAACACACCGAAGTTCTTAATACCAGCTGAGCTGCATTGTAAGCCTTGCACTGGAAGATGGGGTACCGCTCCAGGTTGGACATCTTGAAGCCCGGCTGGCTATGACTGAGTTTGACATAGATTGCAGTTTCAGTTGTTATAATTAACTACCGCATTGATTCTGTTTAAGACGAGCTGCGGGATTCGGTGGGCTTTGCTCCAGGCATCAAACTCTGCAAAGGCAGCCTTAAGCTGCTCCTCCTCGGAGCTGTTGCCCCAAAGTCTGTCACCCACCATCAGCTTCAAAGCCGACCCTACGAGGAACTGCACCAAGCCCAGGTTCAGGGTGTGCATCCCACACCAGCGAATATACTCCGGAGAGAAGTTCGCGAGATGTAGCAGGGAGCCTTTCCCAGTCTTATATATGGGTGCGGGGTTTATACCCTTAGAATTCTTATAGCTAGGCCGGTATTTGCTTGCACCCTAAGCCCTTAAAGGCAGCCCTTAGGCCCATAAACATCAAGCCCTAGAGTAGCCCCAAATTCCAGCCGGTCACACTCCGACTTGCGGCAGGCGTGCTCTTCGAAGTCTGCTCGATCTCGCCTGTCAGCGAGGTTGCCCGGCACGGAAGCGAAATCGGTCTTGTTGGCTTTGCAGTGGTGGCAAACGCTTCTGCAGTTCCATCCCACCTTCAGAGCCAGCCACTCCTGAACGGGTCAATAAATATAGATTGCTTTCAGAAGATGAGCTCGTATTATATTAATTATATAGCTAGGAACTTATCATTTATACAATAAACATGAAGTCGTTGAGGCCTTTCTTTCTTTAGGGTGTTGTAGGTTTGAGGCCTAGCTGCATATATAATAAGACATTAGGTTTCTTTTTTTTTTGGGGGGGGGGGCAAGGGGACTATGGTTTTAGGAGGTGGGTTGAGGGCCTACTAGTGACGGGTTCCTGAACAAATTAATTGTTCAAGATTGTCGGATCGATGTAGAGAGTTGCTTGAAAGCACTGACCGATTGCAAAAGGAATTATCATCATCAGATTCGTGTTGCTGTCAGTGATTACGTACTAGGCATTGTGATTCCCCAACAAGGCGGTAGTGTTCGACTTCAAGTGTAGGGGTTTATGGGTTAGTAAAGCAGTTTGTGCGATGTAGTTTTGGTTAACCGGTGAGTGAAAGCTACCACACTCTGTCCAAGGTCAAGGGGGTGCAAAGGGGGAGGGGGGTGGCAATAACTGCCACCCCCCTCTCCCTTTGCACCCTCTTTACACTCGTGGCCACCACCGCGCATGGGGTGGAGGCATGCTCGGGATTGTATGCTCTATAATTTAAGACATTCAGGCTTAAGGCAGGTTCGATCATAATGTCAGGCCTTGTGCCACTTCCAGTCTCCTTGGTACTGGACAACCGCCGCATAGACACGCTTCTTCTCCCCATTGGGAGTCTGTACCACAACACCCTGCTCGAAGAGGATGTTGAAAGACTTCACAACCTAAGTTGCGGCCGACTAGATTCTATCCAGGCTTCCATATTTACATGGTCCATGCACACGAGCCATACCGACTAATGGAATCCCACAGGGCCTCCTCCATAAAGGTATTGAGAGTGCCAGGCCCAGCGCTTTGCCCCTCAGGGTTGGGTAACTGCATCATATTTATGAACATTTGTGCTTCGTGCTTCTAATAATATATTAGATAGGCTTGAATTGGGAGTTCTGGTAATGGGCAGCTTCGAACCTGGGGTCCAAAACTAGAACTACATAGGCCATACGATGAATTCTTGCTGAGAACTACTACACTGTTCGTTTGTGCGAGTTGTATATGTTTATGGTGTGTTGTATGGTTTCGAGCTGACTAATGACCGGCTGTAGGGACAACAACTTGGGTTCCCCACCTGTTGATAAAGAAACAGAGGCCAAACACTGTGGAGGGCATTCTTGGAAGTCTCAAGCACCCTCCCAAAGGCCACAGCCACAAGTTTATCCTCGTGTGTCTCTGTGAACCGGGCATCATCACCCCACAGGTATAACGGGATATGGTGGTCGGTGGCCCCCATGGTTGGCATCCCTGCCGTTCTAGCGTGTGACCAGAACTTTGTAATCTCATCCGTATCATTCAGCGGAATAATGCCATGTCGCACCAGCCAAGGAAACACTTCATGTGGTAGCACCACAGGAAGTTGCCTTGGATTGCAAGACTCTAGACCGATCTAAAACATGGAAGAGACAAGGAACCGCTTCATCAGCACACGCTTCATGATCACCGGGACCTGCAACTTTGAAACCGGAACCTCGGAAGCAGCAGCAACCCTAAGTAACAAATGAGTTTGCACAGAACGAAGGCCAAGGACTCACATGTGCATGTGCATATGCATTTAGGCCACCTTGGCGGTTTTGCACCTTCGTAGCATATCCCGCTGGACATTGCTAGACCATCTCCCCGAAGTGGAGATCAGCTCACCTGCAGCCCCACCAAGTTCCAAGCCACAGCCCTGGAACTCCTTGTTCACGGCGTCAAGCATCTCACGGGCCCCCACAAACGAAGTCTCCTCGGATGGATGCAGGCCCACACCGATGGACAGCGAAGGCGGCTCAGGGATGGGGTTTGTCATGCTAAGTGTTCGAGTACTTATCATGAAAGGCTGGGTAGCCAACTTCACTGCAAGTGTTGGAAGCTTGACCTGGAGTTTCGGGGATAAAGGGTTTAGGGTTTAGGG